GTGAAATAAATTAGGTCAGAAACCATAATAATACCTATTTCCTTCATAAAATACGTATCAATTCACTCGACCTGCGCGAATGAAAGTGGCAGTTGCGGGGTTGGGCGCGCGGGGTTAAGCGTGCGGTCCAACGTAAAATTTCGTAACTCCCACTAATGCAATTTTACTGCGGAAATCGTTCTAATTTTGTAGTTGCGGGATTTGTTTTTTGACGTTTTAAGGTTCAATTTGAATAAAAACTGTATGTTTTTTGAACTGAGCCGTAACTTTTGGGTGCTCTGAAGGTTTTGCAAACAAAAACGGCAAATCACGGAACTGGTAGATACTGAATTGTACGTAGGGACCGTCGAGATGTTAAAGTGGTTTAGCATTGAGTTTCGTATTACCTAAAGCAATTTTCTGTAATTACTGTGTGGATAATCTGTCGTCATGGTCGCGTGAATTTCAATTCACTTCGGAATCAGTAACATTTTTATTCAGCTTTTTTCAATGAGCAATCATCGTACATGACTTAACATAGATCTTGTGAGATTGTGTAGAAAAATAATGCTAACGAGCGTGTTATTAGTAGACTTGTTTTTCTTACCTTACTACTACAATAGTTTGTTCATTAACATTTTATGATTCCAATAAAATGGAATGGATTTGCGCTAGAGCTACAAACTAACGATTGATGGAATCATAAATTGAGTTACTCCACCCTCTTTATTTCCGTTTACTTCTCGAAATTGCCTTTAAAATACTAGGAAAAAAGTCCCCAGTTAAAGCCCCTTTTCCGTGGTCCCTGTCAATTAAGACTGTTATTGAATTGAGCCACGCACACATTCCCTACCTATACGCATCTGTTCAACCACAATATTTCTGTGCGTTTTTAATGCAAGGTGTTAAAGTTCAAAGTGGTGTTGTTTATAACCACCTCGATTCATGTATGCTAATATGTGGGCATTTTGTATGTGTATGACGTGCGCTAGCAGACTGATCAGTTAGCCTATTTAAGTTGTGGAACGCGTGACGAATGGTCATGTAGGGACAGTTTGTAGTGGAGGCAGTATTTGAACTGACGATTAAACACTGTTGTTTTTTATGTGGTTCTAATAAGAGCGATCTTGCAACAAAATGTTTGGATGTACTGGTGACTGTACTTGGATATTCAACTATGCAAGTTAGTCCAGTATTGGCTGTGTGGTTGGTGTTGCTTTCGATTTTCTCTCAGATGCTCCCATATAGACTGGAGTACCTAATATAGTCTTAATTAAGGAGTTTGCGAAGAAGTTTGTCATAAAGACTTGATACTTTTAATGGGTTCGATTATTTTCGCCAAATAATCACAGAGGAAGCTTCTAACGACAAACCTAACAGTAAATTCAGGTCACAGTTTTATTCATGCACTTCCAATACTTCATCATCATCATCATCAACAGCCCTTTACAGTCCACTGCTGGACTATGAGCCTCCTCCACTATAGTGGAGGGTTTTGCCATAATCTCCACGCTTGGCAGGCGGGTTGGAGATCGCAGTTTAAAAGATTGATGTTTTTCAGATGTTTTCCAATACTTATTGTAATGCAAATGCAAGTGCACAGATCGCAGAATTGTAATGCGGCGCATGACCGCGGGTCCAAAAGTGTGCGGAAGATGTATGCGAACGTCGGACATTGTGATCGATGACAATAAGTCCATTTAGGAGACGTTGTCATTGCATTTGAACCTTTGTAAAAGGACAATGGGCAAAATGGTNAAGACCTTGTGATACGACCGAGAATCATTTTTTAAATAAATAAATGGTATATGATTTTTAAAACCCTGGAGTTTGCAATTAAATAGATTTTAATATGACTGGAACAGTGGAAATATTCCATTCCCGATACTTTTAGTGCAGCCCTCGTACTTAGTGGAATTACTGCTTTCAAAACGTGAATTAGAACTGGCCCCATAGCAGACATTTTCCTACATCTAAAGGCCTTTTAAAATATATATTGGTTATGGCTATTGGAGCGGGTACCACTTTCCATACATTTGTGCCCATCATCCTTTGTTTAGCTCAGGTGAGATTTCGTATATGCCACGCAACTGCGCTGAATACTGCTGAGCTATGGAGAGATGTTTTTAAGATCCAAAATTAGGAACTATATTAGTTGAACTGCGTTGAAAAAAGACGGTATTGCAATACTACCTATAATAAGCAAGCAAACGTCCTTGGGTTTGAATGCGTTCAACCTTCTGGACACGTTGGTAGACCAAAGAATACCGAACTAAATACTAGTGTCGCCAAAATAAAACTCGTTAGCGGTAGACAAAGGGCTATCGCATCATAGCTTAAATACAAAATAGAAGGATAATTAAGCCTCTGCCGTATTCCCCCTTTATTTGCATTCGGTTTCGGGTGACCAAAAACCAGAAAAATGATATCATTGGTCAATAATGTTCTTTAACCCACTGTCCCACTATGTACCTAACGTGTATGTGTGTGTGTGTGTGTGTGTGTATGTGTAAAATAATAATGTTTCTATCTCTATATTTAATGGGGTGATAAGTAGTTGTGCCCTTTATCTATTGGAAAAGTTACTCTAGTTTCTATCCAATCGAGTTCCGATGAATCCGACCACCCTATTTATCTTCTTTTCCAATTTTGTCCCACAAACTTATCGGCAGTGTGGTATCCCCACGAGGGGAGATAGGCGCATGTCGACCAGCCTGTATGAGGGATTAAGCTCTCTAACTGAAATGACGTCACTCGATTTGGATGCACCACTTTAATTGCGTTTTATCACATGCATCACATGCTCCCAACAAATGGGGAAACTGATCGTTGGGTAGGGAATTTTGACTAAAGATTTTTCAAATCACTGAACCGGTCGACACGTCATGCATCAGGTAGAATATTTTCAATAAACCNAGTAAACTTAATATTAAGGAAAATTTTGAGGACTCATTTCATTATTATTAATAGCATGTCGAAAAAGAGATTTATTACAAATTCTATCCTCGTACAATTGAGGAAAATAGTATTTATTCGATGGCGGCATTAAATCACACACACAAATTCTATATGCAGGCCGAGATAGGAATTCTAATTAGGTAAATGCAAATAGGGTAATTGCGCCGGTTTTCCGTCCAGCTCCTGTTTTCGTCCATTTGACCGACTTGCCACAAACAAATACGGAAAATTAGAATACAAACCTAACTTTCCGTGCAAGTTTGGACTTGTTACAATCTATAATATCTAAGTAACAGTTCTGCCTGCATGAAAATGTAATTTGACAAGTAATAACTCCAAAAAAATCTACGGAAGTTGCTGCCGCACACAGGTGAATGGAAAACGTCGTCAAGTTAGAAAAAAAACGTGCCGGTAAGGAACTTTCATGGTATGTTTAATTACTGTTTTAGCTACTTTACGTAATGTTTTTGGCATGTATGTCTAATTATTAGCATAATAAATACTATTTTAAGGGTTTATTAAAGTTTTTGTATAGAAATCTTAGATAATTAAGTGGACTAATACTAGCATAACAATTTTGCAAGATTTTGGTTTTCGTCCACGTGGACGGAAACCCTGACACCTAGTTAATATTTTTAATAATCATTTTACTTCAATGGACCTACAAAATACAATGTTTTTTCTTCCAATATGATCTTTATTGCTATTACATTAAACATTTTAGTTTACGTCCACTTTTTAACAGTGATAAACCCATAAAAACCGTTAAAAAGATGTGGACGAAAACAAAAAACAGCTTTAAACGTTGTTGTGTTTTCGTCCATGACGTCATGAGCAAGCACTGGGGTGGACGAAAACCAAAATTAGCTATTCCTGTAGATTAGTTTTCGTCCATTTGTCCTTCGACCTATTGCAATATTTTCCCAAATTTAGGTAAGAAACTTATTTAAATCTTTTTTATATCATTTGAAAGCTAACAAAATTACCTTTCAAATGATATACCACAATTCATAGTTACTGTATTGTAGAATTGGTTTTAAGTTAATAATTCAACTGCACCCTTTTTTCTACACAGTGGTCGAAAACTAGCGTACACTAGGACGAAAAGTGATTTTTTTGGACGAAAACTAGTGAAATCGCCTCTTTTGCATAAAATATTTTTTATAAAAAAACCCGTGGTATTTACTTATTGTCATATAATATTAACGTAAAGTAGACTATATAAGGACTAAAATGACATAATGATACATATGAGTTAGGGTATTTTAAGATATTCATTTCGCATCACAAAGTTGGCAACTCCGCTAATTGGACGAAAACTAGCGCACTTACCCTACTAATAGTGTATGACTGACTATAGACTAAGAGCTAGTGAACGCCAGACCTACGTCATTTTATAAAAGCTGAAAGTTTGTCAGCGTATGCTCCCGATATAAGATAGAATGTTGGTGAATCGTGAAGTTAGGGCCATCGTGGCTTTGGAAGCTATCCTAAAAAAACTGTCTGGCAAGGAGTTGGAACTGTCATAACTGTCTGGCTGATGTGGAAACTGCCAAAGTCACGTATCCTATATTGGGAGCATACGCTGACAAACTTTCAGCTTTTATAAAATGACGTAGGTCTGGCGATCACGCTCTTAGTCTACTACCTAAGGCTTGATAGGTACGTCTAGCTAGCGTCTGTACCTAGACATTTACGTAGTTAATTTTTATTTGCATGGTGCCATGTGTGCATAGTTGTATTGTTAGCGTACACACGACTATTGTTATTGTCTTTAACTAACGTCAGCGTCATATGATACTGGATTCATCATTTATCAAATGATTCCATTCATTTTAAAGGGCAATAGGACGCTAAAAATAATTATTTTATCGTATTGTAGACTGATTTTACGTGATAATTTAGTTAGGAAGTTCAATACCAAAACACAACAATCCGCGTAAGAAATCACAGCTAATCAAATTTTTATCGCAATAATTAATCGATACGATTGTATAACATTTATCAAAGCATTATTGTGTCACACAACACCGCTAATATGCTAATAAACACCGACCGTTCAGATAGCGTCGTCAAACCGTACAATGTAACTGCCGGATTCCGATCACGCACATCCAAGTGGCAGCCGATATGCAAACGAACTCTTTCGACCAGTGATACGAACGAACATGATATAAGCCGACAAGATGATGAAGTTCAAGTCCTTGTTCCGTAGAGGACCTTCGAGCCAGGGGAAGCAGGAGGCGACACTAAAAGGCGCCCCATCCGTGTCCAGTCTCGACTCCAAGCACCACAAAGTAGCCCCAGCCAGAGACAAGTCCTTGAAGATATTCGGGTCAAAAGAGAAGCTGCATAAAGCGCATAAGAAGAAGGACTTGGGGAACAATAATGCGTTGGTGGAAGACCCTGAATTGAGGGAGGCTTTGGACACGTACGACGATGGGGCGGTCAGGCTCCACGATTACAGCAGCGCTGAGGAGCTGGGAGGCTCGGTAGGCGAGAGGGGCTCGCAGGAGTGCGTCAGTCTGCCGGTCACCCTCAACGCTGAACACATGTCCGGCTTCCAGGAAGTGGAGCTCAGGCCTCGAGTACCATCTGAGGTGAGTTAGAAAGAACTTGTTAAATGTAGGTCGATTAACGTTTTGGCATTGGTTTTTCCATGTATCTACTATGAAGTACATGGTCTTAGCTAACCCTTGAAGTACCAGTAAAATAAGACACAAAAGAAATTGATTCTAGCTAGGGCACTCTCTGGTGTAGGTAACTGCTAAGTTAAAATAATAATAAATAAATTCTTTTATTGAATAACTTATTGACAGTTTTTAACAATAGGCTAATATTAAACTATAATAGGTAAGTACATACGTGCCTGAACTAAGAATTATAATTCCTGTATCTCAGGCAAAAAAAGGCTTACATTACTTTATTAATAGAACTATTTCCAGCAAAATATATAATCTAATATTTATACATAATAATATTTAAATTAAAAATTAAAATCTACACAAGTTACATTTAAGATTTAAAATCAATACAATGTGCTACATAATATTGCTTGTTCTACATACTTTATTAAAAACATCCAACATACAGTGTCTGCGTAAACAAAAATATTAACTGGGTCACGCTCAATGTTGCAAAAATCATACAAGTTATTTATGTTTACTCTAGGGTCATTCCGTGACAAATGTTACCGAGGGTTAAAAACTAAATATNCCAAAGAACTTGTTATGTAGGTCCATTAACGTTTTGGCAGTGGTCTTTCCATGTATCTACAATGAACTACATGGACTTTGCTAACCCTTGCAGTACCAGTAAAATGAGACACAAAATAAATTGATTCTAGCTAGAGCACTCTGGTGTAACTTACTGAGTTGTCCATAGTTACCTAAAAACTAAAATTGTCTAACGATTGATTAAGTAAAGTAATAAGTGTGAAAATTCTTTTGTGTTTTAATAAATACAACTTTTTTCACTGAGACTCCGCTTTTCAGCGCCTTTTATAGCCTTAAAGTCTAGTTACCTGCTAAAATCTCGTTTCTTGTCCATCTTCCAGGCATCCCTGGCGTCAGGCGTCCGTGAGATCGAGTCCCTGAAGCGAGAGCTGGAAGTGAGCGCCATGGAGCGAGCTCAGCTTCAGGCCAGAGTTGATGAGCTGCTCGAGCGAGCGGCGGAAGCGGAGCGACTGCGAGCTGAGCTGGAACGAATGAAGGTGAGGCAGATGAAGCAGAAACGTTCTGTTGATTGTGTTTTGACAGATAGCTCTGTCAAAACACAATCAACAGAACGTTTCTGAGAGTGCAGGACGAAATAATCACTATTCCTCACGAGGTTTGAATTGGAAGAATCTGGAGTAGACAAGTTGTTAAATTGGAATCAGGATCGGAGTCCTCTATCCATGTTCTAAAGTCCCATTTTACTTGACTTAAGGTCCTATGTCCCCTAGATAGGGCAGAGGGCGTCCACAACAGTCCTCCATCGCGTTCGATCTTGAGCTTCGCGTTTGATCTCGCTCCAGGTCTTGCCGATTTTCTTCGCCTCGTCTGCTATAACAGTGCGCCGCCAAGTTTGCTTGGGGCGACCACGTTTTCGTTTTTCTTGTGGGTTCCAATCTAGAGCCTAATATTCTTATCCATATTTAATATTGTTGTCTGCAGACATCAGAAGCGGAGCGTTCAGCGGCGATGGAGCGTCTCGCTGACGAGAACGGCGCGTTGCGGGCGCGTCTCCGCGGCGTCGCGCACTCGCCGCTGTCGGACAGCGAGAAGCGGCAGCTGCTGCTGGCGCCCGCGCCGCGCCGCATGCACTCCTCCGCGCCCGCCTCCATCGCGCTCGCGCACAACGTGAGTGAGCGAGACAGGTGCAACCACGCCGTGCTCACGTAAATGAGCGAGACAGATGTACTCGCACAGAACGTGAGTGAGCGAGACAGGTGTACGCCGCGACGCGCCGCATGCACTCCTCCGCACCCGCCTCCATCGCGCTCGCGCACAACGTGAGTGAGCAGGACAGGTGTAGCCGCGCCGCGCTCACGTAAATGAGCGAGACAGATGTACTCGCACAGAACGTGAGTGAGCGGGACAGGTGTACGCCGCGCCGCGCCGCATGCACTCCTCCGCGCCCGCCTCCATCGCGCTCGCGCACAACGTGAGTGAGTGAGACAGGTGTAGCCGCCCCCTTACGTAAATGAGCGAGACAGATAGATGTACTCGCAAAGAACGTGAATGAGCGAGACAGGTATAGCCGCGCCGCGCCGCATGCACTCCTCCGCACCCGCCTCCATCGCGCTCGCGCACAACGTGAGTGAGCGAGACAGGTGTAGCCGCGCCGCGCTCACGTAAATGAGCGAGACAGATGTACTCGCACACAACGTGAGTGAGCAGGACAGGTGTAGCCGCGCCGCGCTCACGTAAATGAGCGAGACAGATGTACTCGCACAGAACGTGAGTGAGCGAGACAGGTGTATGCAGGAGTACAGCAGCAGACATTCCTCGTGCGTCTCAAAAACTGCGAGAAACAAAGTCTGTAGAAATAATCTTAACCTACTCCACGCATACAGAGACAACCCATTTATGGGTGCTTCGGTTTCTGACCTGATTTTTCTTCTTAGGCAGCTGATGGACAAAAAATGGGCTTGCAACAGACGATCGTGCCTTTATGTTGTCTTGCCGCGCAACGTCACCAAAGTTACTCCAGAAGTTTTTGCAACAGTGGGTAACATTTAGCGGGTGTTTCTAAGGCAAATTTCACCAGGAGAGTCTTCACAATCCACCTCTAACTTAATCCAGAAGTTTCTAAAACAGCATCTAATATTAACATTGTTTCCAGGGCGAGGGCGACAGCGGCGAGGCGAGCACGCCGGAGTGGGACAAGCACTCGTCGTCGTCACTCAGCGAAGTGTCCGTGGCCTGCCTGCAGGACCGCATCCTGCAGATGGAGGAGCACCACTACAGGTGATGAGTCCAGGACCTGTTGACACATGTTCCTAGGGAGCGACGAGGCGAGCACGCCGGAGAGGGACAAGCACTCGTCGTCGTCGCTCAGCGAGGTGAGATGAGCGAAGTGTCAGATGGAGGAGCACCACTACAGGTGATGAGTCCAGGACTTGTTGACACATGTTCTTAGGGCGAGGCAACGGCAGCGAGGCGAGCTCGCCGGAGTGGGACAAGCATTCGTCGTCGCTCAGCGAGGTGTCCGTGGCCTGCCTGCAGGACCGCATCCTGCAGATGGAGGAGCACCACTACAGGTGATGAGTCCAGGACCTGTTGATACATAAGTTGGTACTTATGTGGTCGAGTGGACTCGATAGAAGAAGAACCATAAGGCTTCTAGTGGTCGCTTCAGTCAAAAGACATTCACTGCTGAAGAAGGGCTTTCTCAAAGATAGTAACAACATCGAATTTGTACTTAATAAGATACACGATAAAAGAATAATAGCTTTCTTTGAGGCACATCTTAAGGTGTGGAGAAAATAAGGAGACTATTAGGAGCACACGGAGTCGTTGACACACTCATACATATACAGAACAGTTGCTAGTTGTGTCCTGGTGGTAAATCTCCTGGGAATCTCCTTACAAAAGTTTTCATAAATTGTACAGCATGAAATTAGTTACTTCTCAACTGTTTGGGATAACAGAGCAAACAACCCTCTACTACATACCGTAAAGTGAACTTTACACCTCAGTACTAAGGTTGAATTTTTATTGCAGCACAAGCGAAGAGTTGCAAGCAACTTTAGCGGAGCTGGCGGACCTGCAGTCTCAGCTGGCGGACGCGCACGCGGACATGGAGCGGCTGACAGACGAGAAGCAGGTCCTGCTGGAGTCTCTCTGCCGCCAGACGGAGAAGCTGGAGGACAGCCGCACGAAGGTACGTTTAGCTTTAGCTTTTTACTTTAGCTGGAAGAACGCCAAGGCGTAGTGGAGTTGGAAGCGGCCGCGACCACCGCGCGGAGGGAAGTGGAGAAGTTAGCGGAAGGAAGCGGAGAACAGCGGAGGGAAGCGGATAAATTAGTGGAGAAACTGGCGAACGCGTAATGACAGCTGGACAGGGCCCATTCCTTGCATGACGACGCCTTGGTAAGTGTCTTGAAGGGTCACAAGCGAAGACTAGCTTTTCGCTTGTGACAAGACACTTACCAAGGTAATAAATACCTTTAGCGGAGCTGGCGGACCTGCAGTCTCAGCTGGCGGACGCGCACGCGGACATGGAGCGACTGACAGACGAGAAGCAGGTCCTGCTGGAGTCTCTCTGCCGCCAGACGGAGAAGCTGGAGGACAGCCGCACGAAGGTACGTTTAGCTTTAGCTTTTTACTTTAGCTGGGAGAGCGCCAAGGCGTAGTGGAAGGCGCGGCGGAGTTGAAAGCGGCCGCGACCACCGCGCGGAGTGAAGCGGAGGCGGCTGCGTTACGGGCGCACACGCTAGCGGAGAGGCTGGCGCATGCGCCGCGGCAGCTGAATAGAGTGCACTCTGACGCACGCAAGCTGCACGACGATGCCTTGGTGAGTGCCTCGCAACGGAGGGAAGCGGAGGTAAGCGGAGAAGTTAGCGGAGGGAAGCTGAGAAGTTAGCTGAGGGAAGCGGATAAGTTAGCGGAGAGAAGCGTAGAAGTTAGTAGAAGGAAGCGGAGAAGTTGGCGGAGGGAAGCGGAGAAGTTAGTGGAGAGACCGGCGCACTCGTAATGACATCTGGACAGGGCCCATTCCTTGCACGACTACGCCTTGGTAAGTGTCTTTTGTAGGGGCACAAGCGAAGAGCTGCAAGCGACTTTAGCGGAGCTGGCAGACCTGCAGTCTCAGCTGGCGGACCTGCAGTCTCAGTTGGCGGACGCGCACGCGGATATGGAGCGGCTCACGGACGAGAAGCAGGTCCTGCTGGAGTCTCTTTGCCGCCAGACGGAGAAGCTGGAGGACAGCCGCACGAAGGTAGGCGGAGAAGCTTCTAGGCACGGGACTATTCCCACCTCTCGTCTCCACCGCTGCAACTCCTGTGTAGCCAGGATCTACAGCTTGACCGCCAATAAAACCCAACCAGTGAAGGTCAAGTTTGTCCCGGGGGAAAGTTAAACTGTCATTGGACTCGCAACGAAATTAATCAGAAGAATATAGGAGATCGAAGTTAAGCTTCTAGGCAGCCTGACTGTATCGTGAATTAGGATCTCGATTCTCGACAAACAAGGATCTAACAGCACTGTTAGGCGGTTATCACACTGCGCTGCGCTCTGCCGAGCGCGTGATTTCATATAAAAATCCCGCGCGCAGATGCGTTGTCAGTGTGTTGTGCCGCGCGTGTTTTCTATACAAACTAAGGTACTTGCATACAATGATTAAATCTGTCGTCCCGCGTACCGCGACGGAGCGCGGTGCAGTGTGATAACCGCCTTGTGGCGACCAGATCATAAATAGCTCTTTCGTTGCTGAAACAAAATGTTTTGAAAAACACATAATTGGCGCCCAACGTGGAACTCTGTATTTGAGAAGTGGCGCCCACCGTGTGGGTTTTGTTTTTTATTTTATTTATTTATTTTTATTTTACAAGGAAAACAATACTTTTCCTTCGACACTCCTTAATACCAGATTATACCAAAAGTATTGGGCATTCTATAAGACGTGTGTAAAATGTGTTAAGTATAAAAAATACATTTTTTAACATAATATCCATTTTGTTTTCAGGTGGACACCCTTCAAGAGCTGCTTCTACGCGAAGGAGTCGAACCTGAAACACTGGTGCCCGGTGACATCGACCAACAACTCTTCGCTGTACTGAAGGCAAGTATCATTCTGTTAGTCCAATAGAGGGGGTATTATTTTGTTCAAATTATACAAAAAGTGGCATAATGAGTGTAATAGCGAAAAACAAGTTAGTTGAAACCTTTGCTAGTTCATTGTAATAATTCATATCATAAAGATACTTGTATTTGCATTATTAGGTGTCACAAGAAGAAAAGCGACATCTGTTGGCGAAGCAAGAGCAACTCGAAGCAGAGTTGAAAGAAATCAAAACAGCGCTAGAAGAGAAAACCAAAGAAAACGAAACACTCAACGAAAGAATCAGGTATGTTTTGTAGCAAAATAACACTTATTAAATAGCCACTGTGTTCCCAATACTGCGACTCCTCCAAACTTGACTGGTTCCGAGGGATAGCTTAGGGACTATTTTCGCCTCTCGTTCCCACCTCCAACTCCTGTGTAGCCAGGATCTACAGCTTGACCGCCAATAAAAACCCAACCAGTGAAGGTCAAGTTTGTTCCGGGGGATAGTTGAACGTGGGATAGCCATCTAGCAACCCGCAACGAATTCAATCAGAAGAATATAAGACTTAATGTGCCGTCAATAAAGGGACCATTTTTGCACATAGATCGCTGGAAAGCATTGTGAAGCGACTTGAAAGCAAGCGTTAAATCAGAGCAATGGTCTTAGTACCATCAATAAAGTGACATTCTCTTTGCACACAGATCGCTGGAGAGCATTGTGGAGAGATTAGAAAGCGAGCGTTCGCAGTGGGAGCAAGAGACTGAGAACGCTCGCGAGGTGGCCGCGGCCAGGCAGCACCAGGTCACCACACTCACGGAACTGTTAGACGCCGCAAAGGCTAAGGTAAGGCTCCAGGAGTTAAAATATTTATGTACTTCTTTTATATACAGGTTAAGAGTTTCAAAGTATGCGTATAGAAGCAACTGCCAAAGGAAACCCGTGGGAGAGGCCTTTGTCAGGCAGTGGACGTCATTTGGTAAACGAACGAACCAAGGTTTTTGTAGGTTCTTCAGGAATGTTGTCTCGTATACCGCGATCGTTTCCAATCAACTACTTAGTGGAAATGGTTCCCAGACGCATTAGAGGAACCATTGCCCTATCTATGGTATATGTTACAAAATCTTCCGCACCTTTATGCTGACCAGAACAACCAATTTAACCTCAAGTTAATGGTAGTGCAGTAACCAAATTTTTTTTATTACCTTACGTTAAAGTCCCAAATCAATAAAAAAAATTAACTTGCGTATCCGATTAAGCCATAAACCATCTATAGTATCCTCTTTTGTTTTAATTTCAAACGGTCTTATTTCAATAGCTGGAAGAACGCCAAGGCGTAGTGGAAGGCGCGGCGGAGTTGGAAGCGGCCGCGACCACCGCGCGGAGGGAAGCGGAGGCAGCCGCGTTAAGAGCACACACGCTAGCGGAGAGGCTGGCCCATGCTCAGAGACAGCTGGACAGGGCCCATTCCGACGCGCGNTATTCTTATCCATATTTAATATTGTTGTCTGCAGACATCAGAAGCGGAGCGTTCAGCGGCGATGGAGCGTCTCGCTGACGAGAACGGCGCGTTGCGGGCGCGTCTCCGCGGCGTCGCGCACTCGCCGCTGTCGGACAGCGAGAAGCGGCAGCTGCTGCTGGCGCCCGCGCCGCGCCGCATGCACTCCTCCGCGCCCGCCTCCATCGCGCTCGCGCACAACGTGAGTGAGCGAGACAGGTGCAACCGCGCCGTGCTCACGTAAATGAGCGAGACAGATGTACTCGCACAGAACGTGAGTGAGCGAGACAGGTGTACGCCGCGACGCGCCGCATGCAATCCTCCGCACCCGCCTCCATCGCGCTCGCGCACAACGTGAGTGAGCGAGACAGGTGTAGCCGCGCCGCGCTCACGTAAATGAGCGAGACAGATGTACTCGCACACAACGTGAGTGAGCAGGACAGGTGTAGCCGCGCCGCGCTCACGTAAATGAGCGAGACAGATGTACTCGCACAGAACGTGAGTGAGCGAGACAGGTGTATGCAGGAGTACAGCAGCAGACATTCCTCGTGCGTCTCAAAAACTGCGAGAAACAAAGTCTGTAGAAATAATCTTAACCTACTCCACGCATACAGAGACAACCCATTTATGGGTGCTTCGGTTTCTGACCTGATTTTTCTTCTTAGGCAGCTGATGGACAAAAAATGGGCTTGCAACAGACGATCGTGCCTTTATGTTGTCTTGCCGCGCAACGTCACCAAAGTTACTCCAGAAGTTTTTGCACAACAGTAAGTAACAATTAGCGTGTGTTTCTAAGGCAAATTTCACCAAGGGAGTCTTCACAATCCAACTCTAACTTAATCTAGAAGATTCTAGAACAGCATCTAATATTAACATTGTTTCCAGGGCGAGGGCGACAGCGGCGAGGCGAGCACGCCGGAGTGGGACAAGCATTCGTCGTCGTCGCTCAGCGAGGTGTCCGTGGCCTGCCTGCAGGACCGCATCCTGCAGATGGAGGAGCACCACTACAGGTGATGAATCCGGGACCTGTTGATACATAAGTTGGTACGGTACTTAGGTACTTATGTGGTAGAGTGGTCTAGATAGAAGAAGAACCATAAGGCTTCTAGTGGTCGCTTCAGCAAAAAGACATTCACTGCTGAAGAAGGGCTTTCTCAAAGATAAAGCCTGGTCCGTGAGCACGTAGAATCCCGTCCAATGACCCCAAGCTACCCATCCTTACGCTCGCGCGTAATTATATTGCTGTCGCGACCAGGCTTTAGCAACAACATCGAATTTGTACTTAGATACACGATAAAAGAATAATAGCTTTCTTTAAGGCACATCTTAAAGTGTGGAGGAAATAAGGAGACTGTTAGGAGCACACGGAGTCGTTGACACACTCATACATATACAGAACAGTTGTTAGTTGTGTCCTGGCGGTAAATCTCCCGGGAATTTCCCTACGACGTTTGCATAAATTGTAAAGCGTGAATTAGTTACTTCTCAACTGTTTGGGATAACAGAGCAAAAAACCCTCTCCTACATACCGTAATATAAAGACAACTTTACACCTCAGTACTAAGGTTGAATTATCATTGCAGCACAAGCGAAGAGCTGCAAGCTACCTTAGCGGAGCTGGCGGATCTTCAGTCTCAGTTGGCGGACGCGCACGCGGACATGGAGCGACTGACAGACGAGAAGCAGGTCCTGCTGGAGTCTCTCTGCCGCCAGACGGAGAAGCTGGAGGACAGCCGCACGAAGGTACGTTTAGCTTTAGCTTTTACTTTAGCTGGAAGAACGCCAAGGCGTAGTGGAGTTGGAAGCGGCCGCGACCACCGCGCGGAGGGAAGCGGAGACGGCCGCGTTACGGGCGCACACGCTAACGGAGAGGCTGGCGCATGCTCAGAGACAGCTGGATAGAGCGACGCCTTGGTGAGTGCCTCGTAGCCCATGCTCAGAGACAGCTCGATAGAGCGCACTCTGATGTGTGCGCAAGATTCACGACGACGCCTTGGTGAGTGCCTTGTAGCGGAGGGAAGCGGAGAAGTTAGCGGAGGGAAGCGGATAAGTTAATACAAATGACAGCTGACACGCTGCACGCTGTGTGGTGTGGCGCCCAATGTGTGGTTTGTTTTTTATGCTGACTGGCTACTGGTTTTTTATTCCTCTCCTTATTACTAAACAAGTCAAACAAAGTCCCTGAAAAGTACAGCTATACAAGAAAAATAAAATTGTATCAATTTAACTTTCAGGTGGACACCCTTCAAGAGCTGCTTCTACGCGAAGGAGTCGAACCTGAAACACTGGTGCCCGGTGACATCGACCAACAACTCTTCGCTGTACTGAAGGCAGGTTACATTTTTCTTCCAACAAAAGGATGATTCTGATGCACAAGTTACAACAAAAAGTAAAGTAACAGGTTCCATTTCAAAGAAAAACCATTTTATTTGCAAAATATTGTAACTTTTGAATTATATTTATTATTAGGTGTCACAAGAAGAAAAGCGACATCTGTTGGCGAAGCAAGAGCAACTCGAAGCAGAGTTGAAAGAAATCAAAACAGCGCTAGAAGAGAAAACCAAAGAAAACGAAACACTCAACGAAAGAATCAGGTATGTTTTGTAGCAAAATAACAATTATTAAATAGCCAATGTTAATTTATCGTCATGGAGACTAATCCAACCTCTCTTTCCCAATACTGGTTCCGAGGGATAGCTTAGGGACTATTCCCACCTCTCGTTCCCACCTCCTCCTGTGTAGCCAGGATCTACAGCTTGATCGCCAATAAAAACGCAACCAGTGAAGGTCAAGTTTGCCCCGGAGGATAGTTAAACGTGGGATAGCCATCTAGGAACCCGCAACGAATTCAATCAGAGTAATATAGGACTTATGTACCTTCAATAAAGGGACCATTTTTGCACATAGATCGCTGAAAAGCATTGTGAAGCGACTTGAAAGCAAGCGTTAAATCAGAGCAATGGTCTTAGTACCATCAATAAAGTGACATTCTCTTTGCACACAGATCGCTGGAGAGCATTGTGGAGAGATTAGAAAGCGAGCGTTCGCAGTGGGAGCAAGAGACTGAGAACGCTCGCGAGGTGGCCGCGGCCAGGCAGCACCAGGTCACCACACTCACGGAACTGTTAGACGCCGCAAAGGCTAAGGTAAGGCTCTAGAAAAGTAAATATTTGTACTTGTTTTATACAGGTTTAGAGTTTCAAAGTATGCGTATAGAAGCAACTGCCAAAGGAAACATGCGCTGAATAAAAGTAATTTATTATCTGTAAATACTTAGCATTTTCGTTTCTAGGCTTTAGGATCGATCGTTGTAGAAGTCCAGCAGTGGACGTTATTTAGTTGAAACAAACGAACCAAGGCTTTTATAGATTCTTCAGGAATGTTGTCTCGTATACAGCGATCGTTTGCAATCAATTAGTGAAGTTCCCAGACGAGGAACCATTGCCCTATGGTATACGTTACAAAATCTTCCGCACCTTTATGCGGACCAGAACAACCAATTTAACCCTCAAGCTGTTTATGATAGCGTAGTAACCACATTATTTTGAACTTTATTACCTTATGTTAAAGTCCCAAATCAATAAAAAAAAATAACTCGCGTATCCGATTAAGCCATAAACCATCAATAGTATCCTCTTTTGTTTTAATTTCAAACACTTTTTTCGATAGCTGGAAGAACGCCAAGGCGTAGTGGAAGGCGCAGCGGAGTTAGAAGCGGCCGCGACCACCGCGCGGAGGGAAGCGGAGGCGGCTGCGTTACGGGCGCACACGCTAGCGGAGAGGCTGGCCCATGCTCAGAGACAGCTGGACAGGGCCCATTCTGACGCGCGAAAACTACATGATGACGCCTTGGTAAGTGTCACTTGTAGGATCGTTAGCGGAGGGAAGCGGAGAAGTTAGCGGAGAGGCTGGCCCATACGCAGCGACAGCTGGATAGAGCGCATTCCGACGCCCGCAAACTGCACGATGACGCCTTGGTAAGTCTCAAATGCAGGGTCGTTAGTGGAGGGAAGCGGAGATCATGCTCACGTTTGCTGAGAGACTGGCGGAGGGAAGCGGAGGCGGCCGTGCTAGCGGAGAGACTGGCCCATGCGCAGCGGCAGCTGGATAGATAGCACTCTGACGCGCGCAAGTTGCACGACGATGCCTTGGTAAGTGTCTCTTGCAGGGTCGTGTGCGGAGGGAAGCGGAGATCATAGTCACGCTATCGGTGAGGCTGGTGCATGCGCAACGGCAGCTGGATAGAGCGCACTCTGAGGCGCGCAAACGATGGCTTGGTACGTGGCACGTTATTTCGTTGGCGGAAGGTTGCGGAGATGGGGTATACGCTAGCGGAGAGATTGGCGCATGCGCAGTGACAGTAGGATAGAGCGCATTACAACGCATGCAAGCTGCATGACGACGCCTTGGTAAGTGCCTCGTAGCGGAGGGAAGCGGAGAAGGCGCAAATGTTTGCGGAGAACGAGCTGCGGTAGCTGGATAAGGCGCACTCCGACGCGCGCAAGCTGCATGACGAAGCCTTGGTACTTGCCTTGACTTGAAACTGTTGAGGCATTTCTTAAATATTGTGCCAATGAAATATTGATTACAAATAGCTAGAGAACTGAGCACAGTGCTAATTAAATTGTCATCATTATCATCATCATCTCAGCCATAGGACGTCCACTGCTGAACATAGGCCTCCCCCAATGCTTTCCATGTTACCCGGTTGGTAGCGGCCTGCGTCCAGCGCTTTCCTGCTACCTGTATGCTGTCGTCGGTCCACCTTGTGGGTGGACATCCCACGCTGCGTTTTCCGGTACGCGGCCTCCCACTCCAGAACCTTGCTACCCCATCGGCCGTCAGTTCAATTGTGAGGGAATAATTTGAATGAATTCTTCAATCATTTCTAGGTATCCCGCAATAACGCGAAGTCTACGATATCCGAATTGGAGTTCCAACTGGAGCAGTTACGACAAGAAAAGTCGGCCCTGCAAGGCGAAATGAAAACACTCCAAGACAACTTGGCCGAGTTGCAGATACAGGTATGTACGAGTATTTACCGTTCTCATTTGGCAAATTTTCGAGGTTTTACTCATTAACAAAAATATCATTTGCAATTTCGAAGTTCTTTCAATGAGAGGACTCATAACTGATCCTTAATGTAAAGTCTTAAGGACAATTTTTTACCTTCCTACTGCAATAAATTAAAGTAGCTTTTTAACTTCAGGTCCAAGTGACGTCAGATGAGAAGCTAGCACTAATGAGTCGGGCTGGAGAGGCTTTGGCGCGCGCCGCCGACGCTGAAAGGCAACTTCAAGACGCGCGTGCTAGGAACGTGCAACTCACGCGCGATAGAGAACGTGACGTAAGTACACGGGCCAGTGACGTCACACTAGCTAGCACTAATGAGTCGGGCTGGGGAGGCTTTGGCGCGCGCCGCCGACGCTGAAAGGCAACTTCAAGACGCGCGCGCTAGGAACGTGCAGCTCACGCGCGATAGAGAACGTGACGTAAGTACACGGGCCAGTGACGTCACAGGATTAGCGGGAGAGGTTTTAGAGCGCGCCGCCGACGCCGAGAGGCAGCTGCAAGACGAACGTGACGTGAGTATTACGTGCTCGCACGCGGGCCTGGGATATCACACGAGTCGGGGGTATAGATCATAGTTAATTGTAAAAGTCCTATCTGTACCTGGGCCCTAAAAACCGCAATGACGTCTAAAGTTCAATGCTCCTCCGCTTAGGAGTGAGGGTTGAGGGATAGTGGAGTACCGCTGTGACTGTGACGAGGTGCTTTCAGACCATGACTCGCCGATGCTATGATCTTTGGGTCCTAACGCCCGCATTTTGCGATTGGGCTAACACGATTTAGGACCGAGTCAATTAAATGCCATTTAACCTTCATAACAAACCTTCCAAATCAATACAAATCCTGAGGTGGAATTGTGTAAAGCAATCGTTATCGTTTGACAGTTCATAACGTAAGATTATTCTGTCAAACGCAAACACACTCATTTATTTNTTAGGCTGAGTTGCAACACCTAACTTCGACCGTGACTATTACGAGAACCGGTGCTTTTTGTGTGGATTTTGACAGATTTTTGACGTTTGTGAAAGTTAAAGTAAGATGGTGCTACCCAGCTTTAGTCGAGAAAAATTATTAAAAAAAAATGTCCTTATAATCCTATAAGCTTTCTAATTTCTTTATGCAAAAAATTATACTATCTTTTTTATTTCCAGGTTCAAGTGACGTCAGATGAGAAGCTAGCACTAATGAGTCGGGCTGGGGAGGCTTTGGCGCGCGCCGCCGACGCTGAGAGGCAACTTCAAGACGCACGCGCTAGGAACGTACAGCTCACGCGCGATAGAGAACGTGACGTAAGTACACGGGCCAGTGACGTCACACTTCTTCTTCTTCTTCTTCGTTACGCTCTTGGCAGAGCGGTCGTGGTCACGTTGAGGCGTTGTACACATGGCTGTAGAGGCGGATACAACTCTCCGCACGATCTCCCTCCATCTCTCTCTATTGGCAGACTGTCTGGTGCAGTCACATAAGCCGTCTCCCACTGCTGCTTTCACTTGGTCGGTCCAGCGCATTGGTGACCTGCCACGCGATCGGGTTCCTTCGACTAGCTAGTACTAATGAGCCGAGCTGGGGAGGCTTTGGCGCGCGCCGCCGACGCTGAAAGGCAGCTTCCAAACGCACGCGCTAGGAACGTGCAGCTCACGCGCGATAGAGAACGTGACGTAAGTATACGAGCCAGTGACGTCACACTAGCTGGCTCTGAGTCGGGCTGGGGACTTTGACGCGCGCCGCCGACGCTGAAAGACAGCTGCAAGACGCGCGCGCTAAGAACGTGCAACTCACGCACGATAGAGAACGTGACGTAAGTATTACGTGCTCGCCCGCGGGCCTGGGATATCACACGAGTCGGGGGTATAGATCATAGTTAATTGTAAAAGTCCTATCTGTACCTGGGCCCTAAAAACCGCAATGACGTCTAAAGTTCAATGCTCCTCCGCTTAGGAGTGAGGGTTAAGGGATAGTGGAGTACCGCTGTGACTGTGACGAGGTGCTTTCAGACCATGACTCGCCGATGCTATGATCTTTGGGTCCTAACGCCCGCACAAATTTGTGATTGGGCTAACGCGATTTAAATGCCATTCAACCTTCATAACAAATCTTACAAATCAATACAAAACCTGGTTGCTGTCCTTTTTAGATAAACATACAAATTTATTTCATTATTTCTATATCAGGAAACCGAATGGAAGCAGTTCCAAAGCGACCTCCTGATGACGGTCCGCGTGGCCAACGACTTCAAAACCGAAGCCCAGAGGGAGCTGGAGAGACTCGTCTCCGAAAATAAGATCGCTAGAGACCGTATCAGACATCTGGAAGACCAAATGCACTCCCTTAAAGGTAAGATAAATAAACAGCTAGAATGAGCATGCGTAGTTCGAAATATCGATATGGTATTTGAGAGTAGACTTCTGTACATATTAGTTTGATTTGGAATTCTTATATTTTTTGTATGGTATCTAAATAGTCAATCTTTGCATGTATCTGGCTAAGTTGATGATGGATTTTTCAATTTATGTAGAGATAATTTTGGTTTTTATTTGTTTTTGAAACGAAAATGTTTATCAAAACGGCGACTTATTGTCTTCTACAGACAACCCGTGCTCAACAGAATTAACATGCATTACCATGCACTAATTCTGTGTAAATAAGCTTGCAAATACCTACTTTCTCAGTCATTGTACTAACAGTGTAAATACTATGTGTCATCAATCTGTACATTGTACCAATGTCTAATCTAAATCTGTGTCGAAACAGGTGTTAACAAGTCAGACTCTGTGGATAGCATAAACCACTTCTCGGATGATGAAAAAAGACGATCGGGAGACTCACTCTATTCGGATTCGCAAAGCGATTCGTCATCGAAAGACGTGTTCAAAAATATAAGGACTAGATACCTTTCTAGAGTTCACAGCGTCTCAGACCCACCGCTAATGAACGAAAGTATCGTAGACCAAGCGTTTTTCAAACTCAATAATGTATCAGACCCGAAATCTGACTTCGAGGAAGTCCCTCCAACGAGCTTCACGTTCGAAATAGATAACGTGACGACAGACGAAACGAACGACGATGATTCTCATAGAAACTCATCGGATATTATAGACGAGCCCGAGAAGATACTAACTGAAGTAGCGATACCTCCACTTGAGGACAAAGGGTTCGAGAGGCAAGACGCTGTTGACTTTTCTAGCGAAAAGATCAAGAGACAAGATGCTGTAGATGAATGTGATCATGCTCCGAATGTGCCTGATAATGCTGACACTAATGATCTGAGTGCTAATGTCAAATGTATTTCAAAATCGGAATCTGCAAACGTTGTGAAACCTAGAGATAATACCATATTTAGCAGAAGTCTTTCAGGCGTGTTCAATGGTAAACCGAAGTCGTACAGCATGGAAAATCTTAACACTAATACAGAATACAAAGATATTTTACAAGAGGCTACTAGTATAGAATTTTTAGGGAATAACAATAACTATAGTGAATTGTCTTTGTTCACTGAAGGATCGGATAGTGTTTTTAGTTCCCCAATCAGGAAAAATACTAATTATACCTTGAATATTGGCAAAGCTATCTCACAGCCCAATATCAGTAGTTCAAATGTTGACACAGCTTCAATAAATGATTCTGTTATAGATCATGACATTCCAATCGTGAAAGCTGAATCTATTTTACCGTATCCATATCCAGATGATATTAAACCAACTCCTGTAGTTGAATTTATAAAGACAAATGATAATAAACCTGTAGAACCCGAAACTCAAATAGAAAATGATATCCGAAAAGCTAACGAAGATATAAAATCTAGTTTTAAAGCAGCCCTACAAAGAATTACAGGTAGCATAGGTAAAAAGTCACCAACAAACTCGGTTAAAGACAAAAGATCACCAACCAACTCTATAAAAGAAAAGAAAATGAAAGAAAGCAAGAAAGATGTAGAGATAGACCATAAAACAAGCGACAAAGAAGAAGATACTAACGTTGATGAAATAATGGAGTCAAATCCTATAATACCGATCATAAAAGAGAAACCAAAGATAAAGGAAATCATACCTAAAATTGAGGTTAAAGAAATAATAGAACCTACAGTTAAATCAGATCCCAATATCATAATCAAAGTAACAGAAAGTACAAACCCCTTTCTAGATGCTGCAAAAGAGCTGGATGTAAAAGATAATGAGATACCAATAGATGAAAACGTTAGTTATCACTTAAAAATTAACTCATTCAACGATGGTATGCAACCTGATATTTCCCAAGCTGCTTCGCAAGCTGCCTCGACCTCGCAAGCTGTGACCAACTTCAATCCGAGTAATGCTGGTATTAATAGGTTAAAAACTTTCATGACCCCCATAAAAATTATGAATGGAGGTTTCATAGACCGTACATCTCCCATTATTTTGAGTCCTGTCCTGATACAACCTATATTTTTCAAACCACAGCAACAAGAACCGATAGAGCCGAAAGTAGACGTAAAACGGGCCACAGTTTATTACAATGATATGGACCAGGTTGTTGTAGGAAATAAGAAAAAAGTAAAAGAGCCACTCAAACTTCCAGAAACGTCTAACATAGATGAAAAACTGAATGTTGAAAAGAAAGGAATGTACCAGAAAAACGCAAGAGCAAAACAGTTGCCCTTCCTTTCGTGGAAAACGTTTGGGGTAAACGAAAATATACCGGAGTTAAAACTACGTTCCCCTATACCAACCATAAGTAAGTCGCCAGAACCTTTAACACCCGGTGTGGTGAAACTGACCAAACCTCCTGGCTGGCTGATTGACAACCAATATTATCAACCCATGGAAAACGTCCCGTTCTTCATCAATACAAAGCAAAGTTTTACTATGCCGAAGAAACCAGTGCAAGCAAAGAGAGAGAGAACAGGACAACATCGACCAATCCGTTTCTTCCGATGATCCCATCTAGCAGAAGGTGTTCAGAACAAGAGAACTATTATGAAGAAATAGGTGAACCGAGGTTTCCACCGGTGATATTGGAAAACAAGAATGTTGCTGATGACGATAAAATTTCAAGCAAAACCCGAACTGCTGAAGTTTTCCCTGCATTGACTCGCGAAGAAATACTAAAAGTGCCCAGAAGAGCAAAGAAACCTAAAAAAGATGCACACTACGAATCAAATACGTTTGATAAAGATGTTGAAGACAGTACAAACATAGTCAAAGAAATGGCACACATGACCAAGTCAGTTATATCGCTGTCCCGTTCGCCGAGTGCAAAAGACGCACCCAAGAAATCAACTGGGTCCTTCGGGGAATTGGTTCAGAACTTGGAAAAGAAGCCTCCAACGCCTGAACCTAAGAATACTCCAGAGGTGCCGCTACGAAAGCATTCTCTTCAAAACCAGAGAGCTGCTTCTAGTATAGATACAAATACAGGGTCATGGCCACGAGGACCCAAGCCGTATTGGAAGACTTTGGAGCACAAAAGACTGTCGCATCCGATCAGGTCTCTAAACGATCCTCCGCCTCCGAGACCGCTACGTAAGTCCGGCTTCTTGTGACCCGAAACTAAACGTTCTAGTGTGATTCTGTCAATAACCGTATGTCAACGGATCAGACGTCCTTATATGTTTCGTTTTCAAGTGTTGTTTGTCGTTTGGTGGTGGTTCAAGTTGTTGGGAAGGGTATTGTAGACGTGCGTATATCACATGAAGCACAGTTGTTGAATCTATCACTGGTATTAGATGCATAGCTGGGCATTAACTCGTTAATCCGTTAATCGTTAATTAACGAAGTTAACATTTCTATTAACGGATTAACTTTTAAGTTAACTTTAAAAAATGTTAACGGACTCGTTAACTTCCGTTAAATTATCCTAAGTCCGTTAATCGTTACCTACAATTTACCAAAAAGATACAGCAGGCACGCTGAAAAACGCGTTCTGACAAGTACGTTCGGGCTTCCAGAACTTTCAAAACCCAAAACAATAGTTTTTTGTAACCAGAGGTGGAATTGTGTAAAGCAATCGTAATCATTTGACAGTTCATAACGTACGATAAAGTCAGTTAAACAAAGCGTTTGACAGAATAATTGTACCTACGTTATGAACTGTCAAATGACAACGATTGCTTTACACAATTCCACCTCAGATCAATAACGACACTTGTTAGTATGTGTGAGACAACTCTTGCAACTGAATTTAAGACCAGTTTTCCTCAACCGATTGAGCTGAAATTTGGTATACTTATGTAAGTACAATGACGATGCAAAGTTATGGTACCATTGAGCTGGTCTGATGATGGAGTCATGAGGCCATAGGAACTCCTAAATGAAACGGCGGCATCGCATCGAATTTGGGTTCGTTGGATTTGTCTTTTCGAGCACTTTAGTACTAGATGATGTCCAGGGTCCTGATGATGGAGTCAGGAGGTGGCCATAGGAATTCCAAAACGAAACGGTGGAAACTTATCCAGTTTGGGTTTGCTGGATTTGTCTTTTCGAGCACTTTAGTGCTAAATTGTATTGTAATTGAGGCTCTGAGATTGAGATGCTACTAAAAAGTGTAAAATAAAATTATTGTAATAATTAAAAAACTTTTTTAAAAACAAGCTTTTATTTTGAAATGCAGTTGTACTAAAACGAAAAAAATAATTGTACTTATGCAAGGTTCAAATAATTTCGAAAGCTTGCAGCGCAAACAAATAGAGGAATAAATTCCATGCGCGATACAAGCTTTCGAAATTATTTGAACCTTACTACAATTATTTTTTTCGTTTTATTATCATGTGTTAACGGATTAACGATTAACGTTAACTTGCGTTAAATCTTGCGAAATGTAGCGTTTTAACGTTTAACGAAGTTAATTTTTTTATTAACGTTTTAACGATTAACGAAGTTAACTATTTGATTAACGGTGCCCAGCTATGATTAGATGTAGTAATTAATTTTAAGGGCATGATTACTCATAGCTTTTTTTCTATATTTTGCATGTAGTAGTTTTAAGTGGATACTTGACATTTACTGAAGAAGTGTTAAGCATAAATTAGATAGAATTTAACGGCTGTCATCCATTTTACGCTTTATACGTTTACACTTGCAGTAGATTCAGTTTTGGCTATCATCATAGTGTCTTGGTGACGGACGTACACTTTGATTTATTGTTTTTGGGTATGGTGTTATGAATTCGATTAAAAAATGTTTTGTGGATCAAGTAACTACAGGTACTTTATCAGCGTATCCATCTTCAATGGGTATTTTTACTTTTCTTGGCCTTATTACAACAAATTGAAGGTCAGATTAAAAAGCAAATGCAAAATAATTAGATTATGAAACTGTCTAGGTTACTCTGAAACTGTTCAGGTAATAAATGATCGCAAAGCTTACCCATTTCTTCATACACGTTCCAAACCATTAAACATCCCATACACCTGCAGCTATGCCGCCTCGGACCGAAGAGACGCCGCCCCCGCCGCCGCTGCTCACCAGCGCCTCCTTACAGGACATCATGGCAACTGCTGCGTCCCACAGGCGAACTAAAGGTAAAATATAATTTTGAAATGACTGGTGTTCTACCAATGTCTCTTATCAAGCAGATAACATCCTATCTTCTTGGGTGCTCGGATAGAGATGAAGAGGCTCAGGATATCATGGATGGAGTTCCGTACCAATGTGTCCATATTCCAGGAGCTCAGCCTCACGCAACGTTTATCGGCCGTAGTACAGTCGCGTATAGTGAAATACTTTGGACATGCCTTAAGGCGGTATAAAAACTCCATAGAGCGTGGCAGGTCACATATCATACGTGGGAAATCACGTATCAACGTGACCACAGCCATAGGACGTCCACTGCTGAACATAGATAGGCCTCCAATGCTTTCCATGTTACCCGGTTGGTAGCGGCCTGCGTCCAGCGCCTTCCTGCTACCTTTATGATGTCGTTGGTCCACCTTGTGGGTGGCCGTCCTACGCTGCGTTTTTCGGTGCGCGGCCTCCACTCCAGAACCTTGCTGCCCCATCGGCCGTCAGTTCTGCGTACTATTGCCACTTCAGCTTGCTAATCCGTCGGGCTATGTCAGCGACTTTAGTTCGTTTACGGATCTCCTCATTTCTGATTCGATCTAGTAAAGAAACACCGAGCGACCATAGCACGCTGTGCGACTTTGAGCTTACTTTTAAGAAAGGCTTACTTTTACCTAAAATTATGTCATTATTTCACAGGAGTGAGCCGCCAAGATTCGCGCCTGTCCGTCAAGTCGCTGATCGAGAGCATAGAGAACGCTGCCAAGGCGGCCAAGCAGTCGCCCGCCACTACGCCCGTCGGGGAGTGGCCACAGGTAAGACCTACCTCAATTTCTAATAATAATAGTTTTTGGGTGGGCATAGTATTATCATGCAAGCGGTACTGGAGTAACCGATCTTGATCCACTCAAGATCTCAGAAATTTTGTGACTCGACAATTAATTGTAGACGCCCTCCAGCCAACAGAAGAAAAGTCGCCGATTCGCTATGTCCAATAGTGGACCGCTAATGGGTGAAGTCGAGCAACCATACCTAATATTAAACTTCCCTAGCAGTTGGTTTTGGTGATTTAGTCAGGTTGAGGAAATTACAATCGGTAGGAGGGCGAGAACTTTTAAGATTGTCTATTTTGTGTTCTCTCTTCCTATAAAAACACAGTTCTTATCCAGTCCCATATCAGCTCCGGTACCGGTTATTCAAAACCCTATCCCAATCCCCAGCAAACAACAGTGCCTGTGACGACCACGACCACCAACATGAAGAACGGCATCTCCGAGCCTTCGCCACCCACCAACGGGCTAGCGGCAGGCGGCTTCCCCGGCAAACCGCCGGCGGCGCGCACATCACGACCCTCCCCGATATCTGCAGGTTGGTGTAGAGATTGTTTTAACGCAGTAGTCTATCGGCAGTTTGGATAGCGTGAGAAAAGCTGAAAGGCATGATGATACTCAAGTAAGATTTTTCGTACTTGACGGCTAGTGGAGAACCGCCAGCTGTCAAAACTTTGTTACTAGCTAGAGCTCTGAAAATGCGACACATAAACTATAATCATGAAAATAATTTTATATGGGGTCGTCATGCCTTTTCAGTGATTTTCCCTTAAAATTGTCAGCTATTAAGTAATTTTTCTGTAGTACAAAAGACTGATTTAGATACCTTTTTACTTTTTAACAAGTACCTATGTAGATCTTAAAAATGCACGTGAAACGCAAATAATAGAATAAATTTTTAACAATTCCCCGATCAAAAAGAAATAACAGCATGTAAGGTTGCTTGTGTTTATTTTTCTTACAGCATGGCGGCATGACAGAGGCGCCTAGTCCTTGCCTTAGTATCTAACTATTGTTGTGTGTCTCCACTATTAACGATTATACGTAATTGCATGATGTTTTTGTTTCACTCTCAATGCCTACTGCCAATTTTTAGAATTTATTGAAAAAATATGGGACAAAAATATTTTTTACTTCATATTTCTTTTATGACAGAAATATGATCCAATAGTTCTCATTTTTACTTTCAGTTAGCGCTATTCTGATATTTATTTTATGACATCCTAAAAGGTCATTATGCTTCTCTTCTCATCAGCTCGAACTGGATTAAAAAACAAATATTTTTTCGTAATAAGTATCGTTGCAATATTGCTTGGCTGGCAATATTGCAGCAATATATCTAACATTATTTTTTATTTCTTAAGCATTCGGGCCGAGCTTATTTGTCAAAACATATTGCCGTTAATTTATAACAGTCAACGCATGTTTCTTCATAGCATGGCTAATAAATGGTATTGGTTGATTTTTCCAATGGTTATGGTGTGACACGATGGTGGACTTTATAATATGAACAGAACATTCCTATGTTTTTGCCTTTTGTAATATAACATTTTATATTTCTATCAAATATGTTTTTGTGAAAGGGGGTTGTGTGCCAGTAAGTGTATTATTGGTAACCATATTTGTTTGGTAAATCGTAGTGCAAGTATTACATAGGTAAAACAAGCTATACTCAAGCTATATGTCGCCCTGGGGCCTTAATAAATCATGGTTTATTTCCGTTATGGTGATTTAATTAAAACTCAAAATGCAAATCAAGAGTGCTGTTAGTAGACTTGTATAAAAGCGGTTTCTTCAATAGTCTTATACATTGATAGACTTCTGAAGTAAATAATTAATGCTGCCAACCGCANTACGCCTGAACCTAAGAACACTCCAGAGGTGCCGCTACGAAAGCATTCTCTTCAGAATCAGCGGGCGGCTTCTAGTATAGATACAAATACGGGGTCATGGCCACGAGGACCCAAGCCGTATTGGAAGACTCTGGAACACAAAAGACTGTCGCATCCGATCAGGTCTCTAAACGATCCTCCGCCTCCGAGACCGCTACGTAAGTCCGGCTTCTTGTGACCCGAAACTAAACGTTCTAGTGTGATTCTGTCAATAACCGTATGTCAACGGATCAGACGTCCTTATATGTTT